TTGGGGCAGAAGGACCACTCTTTCCTGGCAATCTCTTGACCCTTAGTACCAGAAGGGACATTAGAGGTATCTAACTCAGCACCCACATTGTACAGGTGAGAAAGCTGAAGTTCATAGGGACAGCATCTTCCTGTCCCCATCTCTCTCCCTTCCTTGTGTGGCCTGCATCCACTGCTCAGGGGCCCTGCTGGAAATGCCCTCCCACCCAGCACTCTCCCACTGTCTGCCCAGCCACCCCACTGTCCCCATCTCAGTTCAATTGTGCAATAGGGGGCTGCACCACAGGGTCCCCAGGCACCACCACCCCTTCCCCAAGGCCACCTGCTCACCTAGTCCTTACCTCCAGCCCAGAAGGGACAGGAAGCAGGACTGCTCCAGCCCTGGGGGCCTCATAGGAAGAACCGTCCCCCCCCATACACCCAGGCCCATGCGTTTGCCCCGCCCATCCTGCCACTGAGGTAAAAAGCACAACAGGAGACCCCCACTCTCGGGGCGACACGCATTGGGGTCGTCTTCAGTCCCACGACTCTGTCCTCACCTCTTTACCTTGCCTTGCTTTCTGTCTCCACCTAGCCTCCGTTCCCCATCACCCCTCTTTCACTCTTCCCCAAACCCCCAAATGTAACCTCTAGTTGCGGACTCGGTTGTTTCAATCAATAAAGCTGCAGTGTTCTAGAACTGGGAGCTAGTCTATGTGTGTTGGAGTTTGGGGGAGGGACAGAGAGGTGCCAGGCTGGCTGGGCAAAGGCAGTTGTCCTTTGTGCCACCTGTCACTGTGGATTCTGCTCTCTGACCTCAGCACAGGGCTACCTGGGTCCTGTCTGCCCAGAGCGAGCTCTGTGTTCTCATTCATTCATTGTTTTTCCACAAATACCAATTACCATTGCTTTTGTGGAATTTCTTATTTGTTGGGAGAGACTGACATGAAGCTAAGCCTGATACCAAGAAGTATATCATTATGGAACAGAGAGGCCTGTGAAAGATGGTCCTCACTTGGGGCCAGGGATTCAGGGAAGAGATTTCTTTTAAAAAGAGACATTTAGGGGCTGGAGATATGGCTCAGTCATTAAGAGCACTGGTTGCTCTCCCAGAGGACCTGGATTCAGTTCTTAGCACCCACATGGCAGCTAACAACCATCTGTAACTCCAGTTCCAGGGGATCTGACACCCTTTTCCGACCTCCTCAGGCATTGCATCACACTTATATACATGCAGGAAATACACTCATACACATAAAAAGCAATAAATAAAATATTGTAAAAAATACCATGACAAAGACAACTTAAAGAAGGAAGATTTCATTGCACTTACTGTTCTAGAGGGATGAGAGTTCATCATGGTGGGAGGCAGCCAGAGCAGAAAGATGAGTACTCACCGGAAGCAGAGAGAGAAATCCGGAAGTGGGGCAAGGCTAAGAACTCTCAAAGCTCTCCCCCAGTGACACACTTCTTCCCTCAAAGCCACACCTCCTAAACCTCCAGAAACAGCGCCACCAACTGGCCACAAAGCGTTCAAATACTTGGAGCCTATGGGGGGACATTCTTCATTCAAACCACCACACACATAAAAAAATATATCTTTAAAGTTAAATTTTTTTCTTATATATTTTTATTTTACGTGTAGGAGTGTGTTGTGTGCACTCATGTTAAGTGTATCTGTGCACGCAATGCCTGCGGGACCTTTTTCTCAGCACCAGCACCTGTCACCCTTCCCACATGCTCAGAGTTGTTCCCTCAGGATCTTACTCTGTACCCTACTTGGGCTGTCTTAGTTCACCACCGGTCAGCTGCCCACCTGTCTTCAAAGCGTTGCCCGCCAGCCTTTCCTTCACCCCAACCCTCGGATTTCTATCACCTCAGAACTTCAAGGTCCTTCGCCATCACTTATTTCAATCTCGACTTCGGTTTTCCTTGGAAGAAGTGGGCTTGCTGAGGTCATAAAGCAGGCTGGCACCCACAGAGGGTCACATCTGAGTAAGTGTTTGGTGGGAACTGCAAGGAGATCAGGCAAGAGGCAGGAAAACTTGTTACTTGGTTGCAGTGACAGGTCCATGCTTCACATGGGGGAAACTAAGGCTCCACAAGGTGACAAGACTAGGGCTCCCTAACTCTCTGGGGCTTTGTCAGGGCTCATGATAGATCCCTTCCTGCAAACACACCTGACTTGGGACTCACTACTGCTGTAGACCAGCTCACAAGGAGCTGGAAGAGTCAAGATCTCTCCAGCATGGGAGAGATACAATACACACGTGTAGTGAGAGGGACAGACACTCCAAAAAGCCAACAGGAGTTGTGACAGAGATGCTTACCCATGCTAGATGGGGATTACAGGTTTGGATAGTGCTGAGACCGTCAAATGTAGAAGTTCATAGGTCCTCGCCTGATCTAAGAGGGCGGGAAATCCTGCCTTACACTTCCTGTAGAGAGACAGAGTCTACTTCCCTTCCCTTTGAATCTGGAGTGCCCTTAGCGACTTGTTTGTTCAATTGAACTGGACACTCAAGGTAGTGTCAGCTCAGGCCTTCTAGAATGTTCTATAAGGGAGCCCTGAATCACCTTGCCTGCACCAAACTTCCCTGAGATGACCAGGATGCAGGGAGTCCCCCTGACCATCCCAGCTGAGCCTCCCTTTCCATCCACTCCCACTAAAGCACCAGAAGACATGGGAGCAGAGCCATATTAATTCCAGATCAGCCCATCCTCCAGCTGACACTATACAGAACAAAAAAAATCATCTGGCCACATCTTCCTGACTTTCCAACCAACACGTCATGGGATATATGAAATATTTGTGTGACGCCTCCTCCTGAGGTGGAGGCTAGTTTGTTATTTGTTATGAGAGTAGGTAAGTTGCTTGACATGATTCAGCCCTCCACCTCCCCCCAACTCTGTGTCTTCCACCCACACAGTTCCTCTCCTGACTCATTTCTGCTCCTTTAGAACTTGAGCCACCCAAGCATCAGGACCTGAGCACCATCTATTCCACACACCTTTCTATGGCAGCTGTCAACATCCACTGACTCAGCCTCTCTAGGGAGCGGGTTGCTGGGCCTGGCCACTGCTGTGTGTCCAGCCATACACACATCATTGAGCAGCCTATTGATTGATTGTCCACTGTCATGGGCCACCTCTGTTCCAATCACTAAGGCTGGATGAAGAGGTCATGGATATGCAACATGGCTACCTTGGGGGATGCCTTTTTCCATGGAGACAGAGTCTCCTTATAGCCCCAGGAGACACAGTGATTTGGAACTCACTATGTAGGTGAGGCTGGCCTGGATCTCACAGAGATCCTCCTGCCTCTCCCTTCTAAGTGCTGGGATTAAAGGTGTGCATCACCACACCTGGTGGGGGCTGCCATCTTTAGCTCTTAGCAGGAATAGACTGCCCACTTAGCAGGGGCAGATGCAGGAAGGTCTCAAAAATTCTCTTTTCCATCCTTCCTAAAGTGATCATCATTCCAGAAGCATAGTTGTGTGGGTGCACCAGGAAAATCCTCCAGGTGACCTTGGCCAAGGGCAGGCAGGTCCCACTGCAAGTATTCAGGTAGGTAAGGTAACTTACAGAGAGTCCTGTTTACTCACGATGACTATTGTGTGAAAGACTTTTCCTCAGGAGATGCAACACACACAGGGTCTGTTTTCTGGGGTCTATTCACCCCAGAAAGTGAACTCACAACAGATCAAAGTAAGGACTGCACCAAAGTCCAACTTGGTGAATCAATGAATTTTTATTGGGGTTACTAACAGGAGTGTGGGTAAGGGGGGTTGCTTACAGGAGCAGGGCTGACTCAAAAGCATCACCCCAACATGGGAGCGGCAGCCCTGGAGCTCTCAGCACAACTTACAGGCAGCTCCACGGGTCTGAGAAGATCACCTCTCTGCAGCTCAGCAGGTTGGAGTCTGCTCTTATGTAGTTGTTGTGGCCTTTGAGAATCTTGAAAATTACTTCCTGAGTCTCAGGAGCCTCCCCCTCCCTCTTGGAAGAAACATTATAATTTGGAGGAAACTGGCAAACAGTAATGACTCAACTGTTTTTATTTCTATATTGCAGATGGGGACACCGGGGTTCAGAAATGGGATGTGGTCTTCATAGCTTGTAAAATTCAGGAGGGGAAGGATGTGGAGGGGCATCCAGAAGCTGAACTTCTCATCAGCCTGATTCTCTACTCTGCCCACCCCCACCCCAGATCATTGTCTCTTGCTCACCAGCTCAGCTCATCCTTAAGGGTCCCAGGTAAAGGGTCCCAGGGAGAAGCAGTTTCTTCCTTGTGGAAGTTAGGCTCCAGTCCTCTGCCTCTGATGGAAGTTGTCCTTGGTCCAGTGTTTCTTTTTCCAGCATCCTGACCTTTTTGCATACGTCCTTTGTTGAAAGCTCAGATAACACCTTTTAAGAGGCTGAGGTATAAATAAATCCAAGAAAAAAAGCCAACAATCTTCTCCTTGAAGTCACCCAAACCCAGGTAGAGGCCAGTTTCTCACACCTCCTGCTTCTAGATTCATCTTCCCTGGGCATACAGCCTGTCAGTGCCCTGCATGGCTTCCTGCTCTGAGGTCCACTTGGCAGCTCCCCGAGACTCGAGTCCCAGAATCCAGCATCGTTCTGACACTTCGGCTGTTCAGGTCTTCTCTAAAGCTGTCAGGAGTCCCCTGCTTCTCTGCAGCCAAGCTCAGGGGCATGGACTCTGCATTTTCGGAGAGAAATAGGGAGGACACAAATTGGAGAGGCTGAGAACGCGGTATTCATGCAATTTTCCAAAGCCGGTCAGAAGTGTCCATAATACGTGGTTGAAAGAAAATGGTAGATTGGAAAACAGCATGCCTATTACCACCTCATCAGCGCGTGTTATATGTGTTAGTGTGTAAACAGGCGCACATATGTGTGGGTACATATTGGGAGAGTGTGTGTGGAGGGCCAAAGGA